TTCTATAATTGTGTCTATAATGACGGTACTCAGCGAGTTAATAAATAAACGGTAGAATAACAAGCCACTATAACTGAAAGTTAAATGAATGATTGTAAAAAAAGTATTTTATAAATCGCTTCCGCACCCGCTCCGCTCATCACTAAACTTTATCCAAACCGCAACAAGATGGAAACTATTCCGGAGTTACACGTTGGGATTGAAACATTATCTCAAACGCAACACATGAATTGTTGCCGATTCCCGTTCACGTTTTATGACCAATCAAATATTTGTTTCTTTTAGTTACATGTTAAAGATGGTCTGGTTATAAAACACAACTATTAAAAAATAAGCCATTGAAAATTTTTGAAAATCATTCCCTAAATTTGTAAATACAAAAGTAGTCTCTAAACTTTGGAAATAAGGTCTACAATGTAGTTAATGGAGAGCGGTCACCGGTGACCGCGTGGGGATATACGGTTAGAAAATTGAATTTTGGGATCAAGGCAATTTAAGTTATGTGGACTCATGCCTAATTAGCCTGTCGTGTGCCTAAACGTAGCTCCACGCGAGACACAATGCATTTTCTATTGTGTCTTACATATACTGAAGCGGTTAATTGGAATCCCTTCGCAATATGGCCGGCAACGCACCTGTGATTCCTCTGATGTTGCGGGTGTCCATGGGCGGCGTTGATCGCTTACCATCAGGTGACCCGTCTGCTCTTTTGCCGCCTATTCCATAAAAAAAATAAGGCTTGATAATAGAACAGTCATTTGAGCGTCTATTGCGAAGGTATCGACGATATCCAAATCTTAGCGTATTCCTTTTTAAAAGGCCGGTAACGCACTTGTAACTCCCTTAGTACTCTGGGTGTTCATTGACGGCAATAAGATAAAGATAAAGACATTTATTTGCGTATAAACATGGTATACAAGGATGTTATAGTTACAATATAATAGATCATGTTTGTTTTGCTTAATAAATAAAGCATGCAAATTTTAACTTATAACTTATTTTAACAAACTTACACTCGTAGTTATAAGTTATATATTATTATTTATGTTCAAAACATTCCTTAATGCTATAAAAAATATTTTCATTCACCCACACATATAATTTAATTTTAAACAGTCTGAGGTTGAGTATTTTTAATGTAAATTTTTAATATATCATTTATCCCATTAAAAATTCTAGTAACTAAAAAATAATAAGAATATAGGATATATTCTTATTATTTTTTCATTAGATAACCAATTACAATTACACGCCAATCTTCGCACACATTACATTCAATTCAGAGTATAAATGGCCAGCTCATAACAAAGAGACGAATAAAGAGGTCCTCTCTACAATTCCGTAGATAAAATAGAAATTTGTCTATGAATACGTTTCATTCATAGATTTATAAATATAACATAGATGTCTGGCTATTGTCTACGGGTAGAATTTAGGATCCAACTTGACGGTAAATTCATAAACATACTGTTGTTTCTTTTTTACTTATGTCTCTTTGCTTATGCAGAAAGAGACAACACATTATTGTCATTCTGGCGATAATTTTTTGACGTCATCAGAAAAACCTAGTTGTGCCGAATTGGCCATCTTAGTCCCTGTTATCAGTGCATGTCAGTGGTACATCAGCTGTCAAAGCATTGGTCAACAATATTTTGTTACGAAAATTTGTAGAATTCCTGTTGTTTTTGTGCGTGGTAAACAAAGAAATTATTGGTTAGTGAGAAGAACTATGCCCGGGTGCAGTGTTATTGGATGTAGCACTAAAAATATTACTAAACCGGCAGGTGTAACATTACATCGGTAAGTACTGTTATTTTTCATTAAAATATCTCTGTTTTTCAAACTATTCAAGTGTGGTTGCTGCAAATTGACTAAATACAATACTTTTCTAACTAATGCAGTGCTTATTTTCATTAATTTTAGTTGAAATACGTCTAAAACAATTTTCATTAAAAAATAGTGATGTACATGATTGTTCCCGTATCGATAATTTTATCGTACATAATAAATGCGTCAAAAGTAGAACAAAGAACTATACTAAATTCTGAATGATAAAGTGCATTAATTTGACATAATGACAAAATACAAAAAACATTAAGTACTCGTCAAAAATTTCATTTTATCGACAAAATTCCACCATCGTCAATACCTACGTAATGTAATAAATAATTAATACAATAGAGAATAATTTTTGTACAATATGAGATAAGGAATAATATTGTGGGAAATGCATTTTTGTCAAAATTGATTTTTTTATCAAATGCCGCTCGACGGATTCAAATGAAACAAACAAATGAAATATAACTTTAGGGTATTCTTAGAGTATTTATTAGAATGTGTCGAACTCTGCCGATAATTTTAATAATATTATAAATTTTCTTTTTAGTTTGTGCTTGAACCACGCAGAAGTTCTTGGCTGGAAATAATTAATGTGGGAAATATAGATACTAGAAGGAAACATATCTTTGTTTGTTAACTTTATTTTGAAGATTAATGTTTTAACCGAACAATAAATTAATAGTAAATCTACGTGATGGGGCCCTATCGCTACAAGCTCTATTGGTAAATCATAATGTAAACGATTCATTATGTGTTTTGTTATATTAGTTTTGGAAGCATTTTTTGAAGAGGTGCAAACTTAACATTTTATTTAACATTTATATTAAGTTCATAACTAACCGGGTTCTTGTACCTATATGTTTCTGTTTTCCTCCGCTATCTATCACTATCATTGTAATGTACAAACATTTTCGTTCAGAGCTTAGTACAGTACCTATAGAATCTATAGAAAAATCTATGTTCAATTGGATCAAGTAAGTTAAATTATACTATTTATGTTGCAGCCTCTAGCCAGATATGTGCATGAAAATGAACTTGGAACCAGTTCTGGAGTCTTCTCGAAAGATGGTTTTGCAGATTACATTACAGGGAAACACTACGAAAAATACGAAGATATTGTATATTATAAATCTTGATTTTATGAATACTTTGATACAGTTTTATTTTTCAACCCTCAAAAATTACTTAACCTTAAGTATATAAATATTGACCAGTTGATGGAAAATCCTTTTCATGAATTTCGATACATAAGTATCGTGAAAGTTATGATGTGAATGTATAGGCACGATCGACTGGAGTGACAGTGCACGCAGCAACTACTAAATATATTTCGCTAATATGTTGGTAATGTTTAGCAGCTAGATAAAAATTAAATCCAGATGAATCATAAAATAATGATATTTTATTGATAAGTCAATTAAAACCAATTCTAAAATATCGATATTTCTACAGTTTTAAAAGTTACATCCCTAGTTCTATCCGCCATTACAGGTGACCAAGTGAAGTTTATGTAGGCACGATTTTTTCCTAGTTGTTTCTTATCCATACTCTTATCATATCAGTGGTTTCATTATATGTGTAATGGATTTATTCTATACCTAGTTAGAGATTAAATGTAAAAAGTTTCGATAAAATGCAAGTCGGGTTTTAGTTTATTTTCTTGCAGAAATTGTTTGATATTATATTTCTGTGCTTACCTCTACAAGCAATAATAATTTCATACGAATGAACTCTAAGGTAGAAACTGGTGGAGCATAAACAGATTAACAACTGAGCGAACATTTATTAGATAATCCGACTATAACGTGAAGCGCCTTACATTTTCTGAAGAGCAAATACTACGCTTTGAAATTTGCTATCACATTTTTATCAGGCGCTATATTCTAGACTGCAATATCAGGTGTTATTCTTGTTGTAAATGCATAATTTATGGAAAAAAGTAAGATTTCATATATTTAAATATGATTCTAATATAAAAATCTACATATTCATTTAAAACCTAAACATTGTTTGCAATGTAAACCGAGGAACAATGTTAAATGTATGAGTATGCAAATTGTATGTATGTATGTATGAGTGTCACATTTATACGTAACGTGACAGTTCAACAGCTTGTCAATGCCGTGACAGGTGGCACGTGTGTAGGCATGCACTGCATGGGTGACAGGGTAACGACTTTCGCCTGCATGTGTCATTATTTGCCCGGGTAACTTGAGTAATCTTAAATATGATACGTAATATTGTAAGTTACCTTATTTAGTCACTAGGTTTCGGCTTTCTCAATAATGTCCAATTTCGAAATTCGTACATACATAGGTACATAACCTCACGCCCGTCTCTTATGGGGGTAGGCAGAGATTATGGAACGCCAATTGATACGATTCTTACACACCTCTTTCGCTTCATCAGCAATCATTACTTTTTTAAACTTCGCAATTTTCATGATATTATATATGGGCTTTCTCTGGATTACCCGTTACACAAGAGATTATAGCATTCCCTCTATGCTATAATCTCTTATCTTGGTTTGGAGATCACGGTTCCCACCCGTTAGACAAGAGAATACTGGTAGAATACTGTAGTAGTACAGTAGTATTGAAGTAGAATACTGCTACCAACACTTTCAACTTTAATATTAACTTTTTTGTGTTTTGAGTCTGGCTTAAAAGATTCATGTATATCAGAGAGTGTTGCTGACCATTTTCTATTAAACGTGTAGTCCATTAAGCCATTTAAAACTTAAAATATCCACGGAAACTACAAATATGGTGACCAACTTAAGTGTGGGAGAGCCATGCTTCGGCACGAATGGGCCGGCTCGACCGTAGTGATACCATGGCCTCACAGAAAACCGATGTGAAGCAACGCTTGCGTTGTGTTTCGTCGTGTGAGTGAGGTTACCGTAGGCCCCTACCTAGTCCCCGTCTCCCGAATCCTCAAATCCTCCACAATCCTCAATTTCCAAAAGGCCGGTAACGCACTCTTGTAACGCCTTGGTGTTTCGAGTGTCCATAGGCGGCGCCAATCGCTTACCACCAGGTGATCCGTCTGCTCGTTTACCGGCTTATGCTATAAAAAAAAAAATAGATTTTACTACGCCGTCACGACTGCAGTGGTTCGGTAATGGCTGTTGTAATGACACAAGTCTTCATTTGTTCCAGGTCAACGGTATAGTCCTCCATGGCAGGTGTCACCTGAATGCATCGGCTATCATCAAGGGGCTGGTCGGACCTGTCTTCAAAATTATTCTTCTGAGGTAAATAGCATACTATACTTAATCTATCCAGGTACTAAATTCTGTAAGTTGCTTCATGAGAAAGTTGTCCAAGTAAGTATTCTATCGCTGTATCTAATTTCATTCAGATCTGTTCAGTAGTTTTACAAATCTACATACAAATATACATCAGGACGGACATAATAATACGGACCCACTACCGCAAACTATTAGTATTCATTGTTTTTACTTTTTAAGATTAGAGTGGTCGTAAATGCCACTGCCGGACAAGGGGTCTCAGGCTCGATTCCAGGGTCGGGCAAAGTATTACTGCATTTTTTTAAATTCTCAGTAATAACACGAAGCCTGGAACTGCGCTCGGTATATGGCAATACATAGGCTCACCCCCTAATAAATGGGGCTCATAACATAAATAGTAAAAAGTGGGTGTTACATTTTACAGTGGCATTAAATGCCTCGATGTGCAAATCTGCCTACACCTTCGGGTGTAAAAAGGTGTGATGTTATGCTATGTTTTTAAGATTTAAACAATATGAAGTATAATATCGTTTTGGCTCAACTGAACTTAGATTTTACACTTTGTTTGTTGACACGGTAATGATTAAACTGTCAAACACCAAGCGGTCACCGGTGACCGCAACCTATTGTTCTATAATTGTGTCTACAAAACCGGTACTCGACGAGTTAAAGTCCTTTTCAAGTTCATATCAAAACATATAGCTCCATCCCACGAATTAATATTAAACTTGACCAGAATACTTAGTCAATACTATAACCTAATCAACACGCGGGTCATATACTGGTGGAATTGGGGACACATTAAACTGACAAAAGATACCCCTAACTGCTCCTTGCGAAGATATTGTGAAACTAGAAGTGACCGATGGGAGCGTAGTTTGAACTTGTGTGTCGATGACAGTTCTAAACTATTTGAAAGTTAGACTGGAATGCATCGTCATTACTGGTAGCTTTTAACAGTTCTCTGCTGTACTGTGACTCTTCTGTACCTAAGAGAGTTTTGCTACAATCACCTCGCTTAGCAAGCGGGTTAGAAATCGGAGTTTTAAAGCATCATGCTTATCAGAAAACGCTGTTGGGCCTAGTCAGCTCTTACCACATCCAGGAATCTTGGATATTGCACATTGCAAACATCTTGTGAACATACATAGGTATATATAAGTTTGTAATAAGACAATTGGGATGACGACAGGGTATGAAAATTAACAATCTAATTAGTCCGTAAGTTAGGTATTTAAAAAATATTAGACACGTATTTTTTTATTTTGTCGTATAATAAAACAATACTTAGATAAAATGAATCAAAGATTAGGAGTGGCGGCTAAAACGTCATTTCTACGTATAAAATGTACATAAAAGTGACGTCACACGACATTTCAAATCAATATATCGTGGAAAGTATTCGTTTCTGTAAGAAAATAAAAAATACGTGTGTAATGATTTAAAATAATCTACCAGACGGACATTAAAATAAAAATTAGTCGTCTACCCTATTAAAGTTTAAGGAATTTCAAAACTTATTTTTTTGTGGGATAAGTCGGTAAACGAGCACACGCATTACTTGATGATAAGCAATTGGCGTCGCACATGGACACCTGAACACCAGAGGCGTTACAAGTGCGTTACCGGTGTTCTGGGGATTAGGAATTTGAGGATTGGGAATTTAGAGATTGGGGAGATTGAGGAGAGGGATGTTTGGGCTTCCGGTAAAACACATTAATCTAGGAATGTGCGTGGTGTTAGACGAATAACTGAATCTGTCTATTACTTCAGAAATTTTACGTGCGATGTTTAAATAAATTTTTCAAGAAAACCAATAACGGTCCACACAAATATCTCGTCACTTCATCACTCACTGTAACCAATTACCTTCAAGTTCAACTACGCCTTCAAGCCACATCTAGTCCCAATAAGATCATTGTACTAAAGAGATTGGTATTTATGATCCGAACCCAATTGAATCCATCTCCAAGCTGTAACAGCTACCACTTGATAGCTCTATTTATCTCTATCCCCACACATTAGACGGTCAACAGAGGTTTTATAACCTCCTTCAAATCTAACTTGATTTGGTCTATGGTAAATAGGTTTTTATGGCGTATTAAATAAGATTGAATTTATTGAGCCGTCGAGTTATGGTTGTGTGAATTAATGCGGTGCTGTGCTACTGTCGTTTAGGTCGAATATGTTCACTATAGCTTTTTTTTCCTTTCTTACGTTATTTATTTATATTAATTATATTTTTTTTATAAGGGTTTATTTTAATTTATATAACTACATAAATATTTACAACTTAAAATTAACTACAAATAAACTATTAAATAAAACGAAAGTAAAAAAAGAATACAACAAAAATTATACCCTTAATTTAGGCGTCAAAGTATTCGTCCGCATCACTATCACAGGGGAACGTTCCCAGAAGACTGGCAGCATTGCCACGTTGAATGGCAATGCTTATTTTCTGTCCGAAGAAAAAGCCAGCCCTCTGGTCACTATGGCTTGATTTTAAATTGAATTTTGTGATTGTAGTTTTTTGTTTGGTCGGCCCACCAATCTATCGTGATGGTAAGCGATGATGCGGTCTACGATGGAGCACGTCGTTCCATAAGCAACCTATTCACTCGGGCCTTGAAGACACCCAGGTTATACCCTTCAGGAAACACAGACTCTGGCAAAGAATTCCATAACTTAACAGTACGCACAAGGGAGCTTGATGCGAAGTGCTTCGTGTGTAGTTGTATGTATAGTACCTATAGTACATTATCACTAAGTCCAAAGTAATACCTAGAGACTAATACTCTAATACGTTTAAGAAGCAAGTTAAGAAGCACTACCTCTCTTCTCTGTCATCATCAAACTGTTTCGTTTTATGTGGTCCATAATTATGGTATATTTAAGTGTAAGTAGGTATGTAATTGTGTATGTATGTATATATGTGTGTATGTATTATTACTACTTTATTTATTTACTAGCTTTTACTCGCGGCTTCGCTCGCGTCACAAAAGGATAAAAAGTAGCCTATGTGACTATCCATCCCTTCAACTAACTTCAGTTAAAAAATCACGTTAATTAGTACCTCCGTTCTGCTGTCTAAGACAGGCAAACAAACAAATAGCTGTCCGCTCGCGTGGAATTCGGTAATATGGCGCTATTTAGATTTTTCCAATAAGTAGGTAATACGTTGACTGGTTTTAGTTGACATACAGCGCCATCTATAGCAGTACACAGAGCGCCATCTATACCATTGTTTTTGTTTTTCCTCGGAAATATCAATTTTTTCCGGGATAAAAGTACCCTATTATTTAATCCGGACTTCGAACTTTAAGTGTGATCCACAAATTATTGTTTCGAGTCTGGGTGTCATTGTGTATGTGAACTTGTATATTAAAATTTGTAAACGCACCCACGACACAGGAGAAAATCCTAATGAGGGGCAAAGTTTTATTTAAAAAAAAAAACACCTAACAACCTAACAAGGCACCAAACTAAGTACGAGTTTGTTTTACATTTAAAGTGATCAAAATGAGTATACGTTTGGCGCTGATTGGCTGGCTTCAATGAACCAATTAACCAGACCCCTCTGAGAATCAAGCTCTCTATACACATAAGAGATTAAGAGATGGCCTAAGGGTGTTTGGTAAAAACAGTCATACTGGGCACAACTCAACATCATCATCATCATCATTATCAAACAGTGTATAAGTGGACACTGCTGACCAAAGGCCTCTTATACGGATAAGGTTTTATCATTAATCACCATGCTCGCTAAATGCGGGTTGGCGATTTCAAACTTATAATTAGAAACTATAAGCCCAGGTTTCCTCACGGTGTTTTCCTTCACCGATTTTCAGCGGTATCTAAATAATCTTAGAAAGTACATATAACTCGGAAATAGTCACATAGGTATTTACCATTGGTAGGTTTCGAATCCGCGCCCATGTGCATGAGAAGCGGACGGGTTCAGCCTCCGGGCCACCACGGCACTCAGATATTACTAAGTTTTAAAAATACCCCAACAACACACTAACTGATTAAGTTATCAAACCCTTGCTCGGGAATAGCACTCACAACCACTCAACCAACAAGACAGGCATTAAAATCACTATCTCAGTCAATAACGAGTACCTACCTGTCATTGCAGTACATTCACCTGGCATACGAGGTCACTGACCCGACAGTACTCAAGTTAAAATATAGCCTGCAGCTGATGATTCAACAATAATTATATTATACGACTTAATGTTCATGTTATAAGGAACAGTTCTTTAACATAATGGTGGATAGAGGTTAATTATAAAAAATAAATAAAAAGAGGTTGAAATATAGAGGTATATTATCCATGTGTGGTTTCCTGAAGGAATGGACTGACGTAAAGCCAGACTGCCTGCCTTTCTGTTGTCCTACCTTTTTTATTCGATGAACCGGTAAAAGAGCAGACGGATCACCTGATGGTAAGCAATCGGCGTCGCTCATAGACACCTGGAACACCAGAGGCGTTACAAGTGCGTTACCGGCCTTTTAGGGATTAGGAACTTGAGAATTGTTAGGGATTCAGGGATTAGAGAGATAAGGGAAAGGGGAGGGGGGAAGTAATTGGGCCCCCGGTAACCTCGCTCACACGATGAAACATAACGCAAGCGTGGTTTCACGTCGATTTTCTGCTCGTTGGTGGTATCACTCCGGTCGAGCCGGCCCATTCGTGCCCCACTTGATAATTTTGATTTATTATTGTCTTATGTCTATATGCACCGTCACAAAATACAATAACACGAAAATATTACTTAAAACAATTGTGAATATGGCGCAAAAAGGCCAGAGATTAGCTAAAATGCCATGACCCTTGCGCAATACGGTAAAATGGGGTGGATAGGGTTTGAGCGACGAAAACGGACAGAAGAGGGGTGAATCGATACTATGAAGAATTTCCTTATATCTATTCACCCCTCTGCTGTTCCTGTTCACCTCTCGATCCCTATTCAGCCCATTTTACGGCCGCGGCGCGCATTTTTCGAGTCGCGGCGCAGATCATCAGCACTAGCCTATTTTTTACTCTTTACTTAAAACTGTTGAGTCTTCGTATTGCGTAGACCATGAACATCTTGGAACATATAACAGAAGAGGTGCACACAGAAGTAACACCCACTTTTCACTATTTATGTTATGAATAATAGGGGGTGAGCTACCTTACTGATAAGGTAATAATGATATATGATGATTTGAATAACTTCATAAACATTACATTAAAACTATTTACAGGCCGATATAAAGTACGGGAAACAATTATTGCAAACCATATGTTTATCCTAATACCATGTCTTTTTCGATTGCAGGCGAAAGTCAGCGTTAGAAGATGTAGCGGTCAAACCACTGACTCCTGCACAGTTCCCAGTCGCCTTAGAGGAAGAGGTAAGTAATTATGAATAGTATAGTTCATTGGCATTTATACAACGATCACCCGAGAATTGGAAGATCTTTCTAGTCAAAGGAGCCCTTTTTATAGAAAAGTGAATGCCTGGAATTGACAGAAAGACTGGTGCAGCAACTGGGCAATTAGCAATATGCTTGAATTGGGATGCGTTTCCCAAGAAGCTGGAAAGACCTATAAAGACCTAATTAAAGCAATGGTGTTCCTCATCTTTTGGTCACAGTTTTAGAACAGATGTGTCTCCGAAGGTTAGGTTGCGTAATCTTTAATTAAACTACCGGAGTTTATTATAGTATAGGGAAATAGGGAGACTATTTCAAATTTTAATAGATTATAATTAGCCTCCTTATGAATCAATACGATAATCTGACGAAAAACATATTAACCAGAGTTAAAATACTTCTTTTCTGTCGTTTCGCTCTTGGCAGAGCGGTCGTGGTCACGTTGAGGCGGCCGTATTTGTGTTGGAGGCTGATAATGCTTTCCTAACGATCTCCCGCCATCTCTCCCTGTTTGTGGATTGTCTCGCGCAGTCTGACACTGATTTTACATCGGTCCAGCGCATAGGTGATCTGCCTCGTGATCTGGTTCCCTCTACTTTCCCCTGCACGACCAGCCGCTCTATAGAGTTGTTATCACGACGGTAGACATAGCCAAAGTACTGCAGTATGCGCGTCTGTACTATGGTTGATAGACGCTTTGTGGTGCCGAGTTCTCGGAGTATGGATACGTTGGTGCGGAACTCAGTCCATGATACACCAAGCATCTTCCTCCAGCACCACATCTCTAGAGCATCTATCTTCCCCTTTTCCAATTCACGTACTGTCCACGTCTTTGCCGCGTAGAGGAAAATTGAAATCACCAGCGTTCGCATAAAATACTTACCAGAACCATTTAAAGCGACCCGCATAAGTAGGTACTCCGTTATGCATTTATTTTTAACTGTTTCTATAGTGTTTCCAATTTCCGTACCATGTTAATGTTGTAGGTATTATAATTATTGTGGTATTTTCCTAGAGGTAGGTAGTCGTTATTTCGAGATGTTTTTCCGGGTGGCGGTTAGATTATTTACACAATTATACCGAAAGAAAATACTAAAATACCTTTTGTCAAATTTTGAACCAAACCGGAGGCCCAATTACTTATTACCCCGCCCCTTCCCCAATCTCCCCAATCCCTGAATCCCAATCCGCAATCGTAATTCCTAATCCGCAAAAGGCCGGTGATGCACTTGTAACGCACCTGGTGTTCCAGATGTCCATGGGCGACGCCGATTGCTTACCATCAGGTGATCTGCTCGTTTATCCGGCTTATCCCATAAAAAATGATGGTGCTATATGGTGAAACAACTTCCCACAATAGTTGACAACGTAATTTATGCTGTTCTAGTGTTGCGGGTATACTTTCATTAAAATTAAATATGTTTCGTTCATAATCAGGTTATGATAACCACTATACAGGCGACTCGTAGGCTTTGTTATTCCATAAAAAAGTACAATTCTAGCTCTTTCCTCTTTATAATTCTGATACGAATACAATAACAAACAAATCTCACCATTTTGTTCACAATTATTGATTCCGCTCACACAACTTTCAACCGTCCGCCGATCTACAAATAAGGTTGCATATCTCTTCATCTCAGTTTCCGTACAGGTGACATTTATTTGTTACGTATATTTATAACATTTGCAAAGAATTGTAAACATCTCACTTGGAGTAAACATTGTGTTTTCCTCTGACACCCAGTCGAGCGTGGAATATAGGACACGATGTATTACACGGCCATTTTATTGTTTGTACAGGTAATATTGTGTTTACATACAATTCCAGTAAATATGGTATATAAACAAGAAAGTCTGAGAATAGTCAATTTATGTAACTTCATTATAATGATAATGTCACGGTTATATTTATTAATTAAAATGTTATAACTTTCGTGAGACATACATACTTAATTATTTATTATTTTTTTCGACTTACTGACGTCATTATTCGACAAAGAACTCGATTAGTTTTAAGCCATGCAAGAGGCTCATTCATGAGCATCATTCCGCACTCAGTAGCAGCGCGACAGCTACCGCGTCGCGGGTCACTTATTGTGAGCCTTTAGTATGACTTGAAACGAGTTCCTCGTCGAATAATTATTTACTAAATAGATTTAGGTACGGACATTATTTGTTTCAGTTGTATTTTAATACCTCGTACAACAGTATCTAGTTCCGAGTGCAACTACCAAGCAGAAGGTCCATTTCTAAGTGAAATTTACCATTTTTGGGATACTTTTCGAGTTTTCTTAGCAATAGCAGGGAATTTGGAATTAAGCACTGTGATAGAATAAACTCAACCCCTAGGTTTAACATACGACTCGTAATAATATATAACTGACGAGAACTCACCTGTTTCTTTGGGAATTGAAGTACCTGTCCAGTGTCCAATATAATGGCACTAAGCTCGATCTTATGGCTCTAAACAGAATGGATTGCGTTTCAACTGCAATCCAACCGCAAATTACAATTCCGATGCAGTTTGAAAGCAGTCGTGTCACGACTGCAATTGAACTGCAAACCAAACGAGCAGTCCGATTGTAGTTCTATTGCAGTCATGACCAAACAGTTACAAACCAAACGAGCAGTCCGATTGCAGTTCTATTGCAGTCATGACCAAACGGTTGCAAACAAAACGAGCAGTCCGATTGCAGTTCTATTGCAGTCATGACCAAACAGTTACAAACCAAACGTGCAGTCCGATTTCAGTTCTATTGCAGTCATGACTAAACGGTTGCAAACCAAACGAGCAGTCCGATTGCTGTTCTATTGCAGTTTGTGACCAAACGGTTACAAACTAAACGAGCAGTCCGATTGCATTTCTATTGCAGTCGTGTTAACTGCGTCCAAACTGCATGCGAACAATTTGCATTTGGGTTGCAGTTGAAATTCGGTTCATCTGCTCAGAGTCTAAGATCTTTACGTTCAACGACTGCCAACCTTGTAGAAATGACAGATATCATCAAAAGCCATAACAATCCGTGGCCCGTCTCGGAGCAGGAGTTAAAATGGGATTGTTTTTAGTCAGTAAGAGTATGACGCTATCTCTCACCTCAGGCAAGGGACTCTGACCTTGTTTTTATAATCGTGAAACTGTCGAATAACTAAAAATCGCGGGTTACTCACGTGAATATACTGAGAAAAGCTCTACTAGTTTCGAGCCACAGAGGGGCTCTTCCCTTCTTCCCTTAAAACTTGATATTGACTTTATTCAAAAAATCCTATGTAGCTAGAGTGCTCCCAATGCTGTGCCTTTAGCCAAACGCCACTTTAACGCTTGTCTACAGTGAGAGTAGAAATCAAAATGTATAGGGATGAAACTGACAATTGTCACAATTCACGTCAATTCCATATAATTTGGTTTTCTATTCTACATGTAGACAAGCGCTAAATGGCTCCTGGCTACATAAAAACAAAATTATTGGATAGACAATAACTATTATTCTACTCACCCAAAACCCACTTCCTTCTACCACCCACATAGCTACACTAGACAAAACTTTCAACTCAAATAAGGTGAAAACACATAAAAACTCCTTACAACGAGAGATTCCAAGATGGCGGCCGCTGCAGCTATTATTTACCATACAAAGTTCGTCAGATAACAAGATAACGACGTTTTTATTGCAAGCGACTTGTCAAGGCGAGGGAGATAGTCAATTGTTATACTCTTGTCTCTTGGATACTCAGTAGGAATATTTTTATAATAAATGCAATGTAAATAATAATAAACAATGTTCCTACAATATACCTTTATGTACGTTCCCTTAACCGACGAGCATGCATGAAAAGACTAATGATTGTTGATGAAGCCTAAGAGATATGTAAGAATCGTAGCAATTGGAGTTTCATAGTCTCTGCCTATCCCCACGGAAGACAGGCGTGAGCTTATGTATATATCACTACATAGTATAAAACAAAGTCGCTATCCGCCGTCTGTCTGTCTCTATGTATGCTTAGATCTTTAAAACTGCGCAATGGATTTTGATGCGGTTTTTTTTTAATAGATAAAGTGATTCTTAAGGAAGGTTTATATGTATAATACATGCATATTGCACCCGTGTAGAGCCGGGGCGGGTGGCTAGTGTATGTATATTTATGTTCCTGACAGATTGAAAGAATATAATTAACGGTGATACCATATTTTAGACAGTTATTATACGGATCATTATGTAATAGGTGACTCTTACACATTGGGAGAATTTTCCTATTATAGAGGATGAAAAACTAATACTAAACATTTCGGAAGTCGACGGCTGTTTTAAAAAGACTATATTCGGTTATAGCATTTGTAGCCTGGACAAAAAGAATATTAAACTGTCAAACACCAAGCGGTCACCGGTGACCGCAACCTATTGTTCTATAATTGTGTCTATAATGACGGTACTCGACGAGTTAAACTGATACTACAATATAGAAAAGTCCAATTTTACTAAATATAATAAGTTTCATCTGAGAGAAAAAAAAACCAGTATAAGCGTGGGAGAGCCATGCTTCGGCACGAATGGGCCGGCTCGACCGGAGTGATACCACGGCCTCACAGAAAACCGACGTGAAGCAACGCTTGCGTTGTATTTCGTCGTGTGAGAGAGGTTACCGGAGGCCCAATTACCCTCCTCTTTCTCAATCTCCCCAATCCCTGAATCCCTAACGATCCTCAAACTCCTAATCTCCAAAAGGCCGGTAACGCACTTGTAACGCCTCTGGTGTTCCAGGTATCCATAGGCGACGCCGATTGCTTACCATCAGGTGATCCATCTGCTCGTTTACCGGCTTATGCCATAAAAAAATAAAGTTAATATTTTCATAATCAACACAGTTCTTAAAGAAAAAAAACGAACACACGTTACCACTTAATTAATAATTTATGCACGTCCAAGACTAAGTATATCGTTGTTTGATTATTTATATAGTTTTTGACCTCTGACCTGTGTTGA